TATATCCTACTCTCATCTGTTTTATTCTGTATACTTGTATTATCTAAGTGTGTGTGTGTGTGTGTGTGTGTGTGTGTGTGTGTGTGTGTGTAATATATATTAAAAAATAATATAATATAAACTTGACATGTTGATACTTCAATGTGTAATAAAATGTTAATAATTGTATTAATAAATATTAATTGCAATATGTAACGATATTACATCATTTCCATTAATTAACATAAAAAACGTGGAACATAACGATATCTATAATATTAGAGTACGCACGCGGTCGAGCGCTGTATGTATGGTCAACCACGTGACCCAGCAAGAGCTTAAAAGGTCAGCTGACATCAACGAACTTGTCGTATGACAATATTTCTTTTCTCTCAATGTCTTATGATTTAGCAATCGAATCGATCGATATTATAAAAAAAATTGTGCAATTGCGATTAATTTTTTAAAAGGAAAATTTCAATTCGATATCTTCTTAGTATTTCGCTTCGTTGAAACAATCAAACTTTTAAACAATGTATTTTCCCGCCAATAAGATCACGATGCGAACGCTGATTGGCTAGACACACGATGTAGTACCAATCTCGTTCGAAAAGATAAAACGAAGAGATGACGATAAAAATGGCGGAAAGGGCTATTGTCTTTGAGAGAATTACAAGTGATATGAATCAGACGAGACATTTTATACGGTGTATAAACGCTAACTGGAAACGCGGTCTGACAAGCAAAGACACCCAATCACCTGTCAAGCAACGTGGCGACCGGCTAAAAGCACGCCGTCGAGAACCCGTTTTTCCGGGTACCTCATCGCACGCGACGAATACGGTTTAACATGCGTTATGCGAAACACGAATATATTGCTGAACGAAAGAAAGCAAAGATATGGGAAAAAAGAAGGAATCACGTATTGGTTAGACTCACGTTTTAGTGGTTTTGGGTTGCTCTGCTTGCGGCGTGACATCCTCTGCGTTCTGCCATCACCAAATCAACGTCGACATGCTTGACATCGTTGCAGGTACACGCGAGGAGACAAAAATCGGTTGTTCCAGATCGTCGTGACGTCGTCGACATATAACAAATGACACAGCACACGCAACGAAATTGGTGTTAGACGAAACAGGTTGTTTGTAAGACAATAAAGCCAGGATAAAGAGATAAAAAGCAAAGAGATAACGAACACTTCGAGAGGCACAAAAAACGTTTTCTGATCACCGGACAATGTATGTCGCTGACAAATGATATTTTCTCGTTCGATGGCTTCGAATTGTTTTTTAATTGATCTTATATTCCTTCTTACCCGTGCTTTGAAGTCGATTCTCGCGTTTTTTTTTTTTAAACACGCACAAGTGTCGACGAAAAACGTACACACGCACCACGACAACTCGCACCGCGGCCGCTGTCAGCGAGCAACTAAACAAACGCGATACCAAACAACCCCCACTCCTACAAATGCAGCGTGACTACGTGCGACGGAGTGGGGTAATTGCAGAGGGGATAAACTCCGCCCATTATTCCAGTTCAGCTCTCGAGAGCGGGAAATTTTAAAGATACGTTTACCGACAGAGAATATGATCGATTATCTGAGATGGCAGTAGTTTGCCAATATGCTCAAGACATCAATTATTTTAAATTCAAATTAAAAGAATGTAAAAAAATTATAAAAAATATTGATAAAAGAAGCTACAATATTCTAATAATTCTATTTGATATTTTCCATTATACAATAAATTTAATAATTAATAGATAAAATACATAAATATACATAAATAGAAAATAAAATATAATTTTAAACGAAATCAATCAATGATAGTATTATCTTAATTATCTTAAGCTTTCTCAATACAAAAATATATTTTATAATAATTTGCAATGAAAAATAATTATAATTATTCAACCTTTAAAAGATCTTTAGCGACATCTATGACAGAATAGCATAATTTTAAAACATAATATAATTCATACTCATATGATAATTAAGATTTGGTAAGATTTTTTATATTTATGGACAACAGTAGATATTAAAGATATCATGTATACCGACAAAAATTTATTTTTCGTTAAAATAATTATTATATCTTAAATCTTCATTTAAACTACGATATATTAGAATTAAATATACGATATGTGTAAATAAAATTTAAATTTTACTATTATATCTTGATATTAAAATAAACTAAACTCTTTTAAATTAAATTGAATATATATAATATATTGTAAAGTATATGATATATCATAATTTTAAAAAAATATATATGTTATAATAATGCAGTAAGCAAAATAGTAAATCAGCAAAAATTGACAAAATATTTGCATTTTTATTCTATAAGTATAATATATTTATTGTCGGTATTTTTTCAAAATTCTTATTCCAAAGTTGGAAACATTTTTATCTTTTATATTTATTTGCTTCTTCGATTATGGATGAGAGGTATCTTCAATTCGATCCAATTTTTACATGGCATCGTTTCTTCGAATGTAAACAAGTCAAAGACCAATTATTCCCACTACTATTACCGATACATGCTATTTTTGGACGAGAGCCGCGACCGAATTCAAACGATGCACCAAATGCATCCGCAACCGAATTTTGTAATATATCAAATATATCTCCGTCAACAATACGAATTCTGTCCTCCATTTTTGATTTGACTGTGAACACTTTTGATTTACCGTGGTTATGCCATTACTTTTTACAAAAGATTATGACCTGTCTAAGAAATGCACAATACATTTCATAATCCATGTATTGTAATATAAACTAAATCCGTCAAGAGTCATAATTCTAAATACTTACTGACATAATACGAAATTCTATGATATGAACACGGAAAATTTCGAACAATTCGTTCAGTGGCGTTGCCAAAAATAAAATGACATTTTCAACAATTACACTTCCACACAAGAAACTATAAACGATGCATAAACGATGGAATGGTTGTAATTTTATCGAAGAATTGTCTGAAGGTTGCACAAAGAATAAAAAGTTAATGACGAAAAGAGAAGATTAAAAAAGACGAAAATGATTGCAAAATGAAACAGGCATTATTGGTATTATAGCAGATTTTAAAATAAAGATATTAATTTTAACAATGTGCTATTGTTTTATGCTATTATTTTTAATGTGTTATTAAAATTTTTCTTATAGATAATGACACTTTCCAAAGTAATAATTATGGAATAATTTAACACGTTAATACCAGTGTAACAAAAACATGAATGACATGGCAATTCTTTAAACGAAATGAATCGACGAATGTATGCAGGCGAGCCTTCGTGTTGACGCGAAACGAGAAGGAAAAGTTTATCTCTAGATTTTTAAATAAAAAACATCGAACGCCTGTAAATCTCTGTCTTTATTTGATAACTCATATACTATAGATAAATATCGGTATTGAACGGAAGCAATGAAAAATCTTGTCAATATCAGTCTTTCCTTTATTATATATCTGATCATAATATTAGAAAAACAATTACTAGACTATTAAATATTTTTCGCTAAAAAATCTGATATTTCCTAAATACTTACGTATTATAATATTTGTTAAAAAAATTAAGAAAATATCCATGTGTCAATTAGCTTTAATAATTGAATTAAAAAAAATTTAATTTTTTAATTTAAAAATCTTGGAATTTAAAATTTATAATAAAATATAAATTCAAATTTGAGATACGATTTTCATATTCCTTTAATTAATTTATCAAGACCAAACATTTTATTATTCGTGCGTGTTTCTTGACACGTATTGAACACTATGGCTATTTTTGTACACTGCTTTTCCTCCTCGTACGCATTTGAAATGCGTACAACGTTTAGTTACCTCGATCATGATATTAATTAGGATTGCAAAACAATACGTAGTAAGTACATTGATACGAAGATCGGAGAAGGCCGAGTGGCTAGCCTTGAAGCCCTCCGTGGGGAAAGTAAGATAGGAGGAGATACAGGATCGAATATTCTGAACGAAATTTGTTCTTATACGATATATTATCCTTTAGATGGAGGGGGGAGTGGAGGGGGGAGGTGACAATAATTTGGAACTTTCGATTAATCGTAGCGGATGCTTTTTTTCTCGATCATTTACTAGATACTTATTTTAAAAACAATGTCAAAGATACTTTTGCACAATTAACAGCGAAGCTAGCGATAAAGCATGAACAGAAGACGCACACTACGATCATCGATCACGAGTTCGTCGAATGATTCCCTTGTTGTCTATCGTGAACATTCGTTGTCTTTACATTCGTCAAATCGGTGGGACGCGTGCTCCTCACGAGAATCGATATTAAGTTAATTAAAGACTATAAAATTATTAAAAGCGACCATTCGTGGCGCACTATAACATACCCCGATAAAGGTACGATGAAATAACAAGTAAAATTTTACGATAAGCATTTCATTATGAAAGAAACAATTAAAGTGATTTACACTTGTTAGCCTTCTAATTGTACAGGCATGTTTGCCGATTATTCGTGGGAATGTCGTCCTCGATTATTCACACCAGCGTAAATAAGTATGGAGCGGTGTATCAAATATCTACTTTAATCGTTCTACCAATATAAATTGTAACCAGAATGATAATACACAGAGAACGATGAAGATATCGAACGATAAAATTACTAGAGACGCAAGAATACTGAGGGAAAAGAATTTACATAGTAATATTCCATGCGATTGCTTGCTACGTGATAAGAAGCCTGCTCAAAAAATAGCGATAAGAAACCAATGGATATACACAATATACGTAGAAAATCACATAGAACGTGGCAAAATGATTTCAAGATTGTTATGCGTTCATAATTTCATCACATTTTCTGCTCCGCACAAAAATCTATAGATAATCATAAATATGAAAACTTGTCGATAAACGATATTATGTTTATTTGTTCTGAACAATACAACAGATCAACCTATTTTTAATGAATTGTTACGATACCGTTGCATGTACATTGATAAGAATATGTAAGAATTATATGTATGTCACCCTATACCGAACATGATTAAATAACTAGCTGCTACGGGATGCTCCATTTTCAAAGCCGATTATGACGTAGAATGTTTTTTCCAACGGCTTCGACTTCAAATATTGAATAATTCGAATCTCACGAATTTCATTAAGACGACATTAAGTCGAAAAGCCTTTTAAGAGCCTCTTCTTCCATTAAAGGATTCATAATTTGAATTTCATTATTTTTATCAAATAAAAAAATAACTTATCTAATTAATTTTCAAAAAGAAATTCATAATTTCATTATTTTACAAATCTTTTTATTTTAAACTTCGTCTATTTTTACCTTGTGCAACAACTAAATAGGTCATATTAAATGAATTATACTAACAGTGATAATGGATAGATGGATTTCGCAAGTTCATAATCTTATTGACCTATATAATATTAGAATAAAAAAAGAATTTTAATTCGAAGAACATAAAAAGTTTTATAAAAGCTAAGAAATAAATATATATAATATTAGAAAATAGTGACTCTCACAACAAGTTTCGAAGATAGAAAAAAAGCCAAGATAATAAAATAGATTAATGACGTGCAATAAACATTAGTTGTCAGACTCTTGTTTGTGAGTTTATTAATTATCTCTCAATAACTCCATTTTGTTTTAGTACGCTATATAAATATATAACCATTAACACGAACATTGTCTTGTTTTACAAAAATTTCCGTATTTTCAATATCGCAGAAAATCACAATTAAAAAAATGGATTTATCAAAAAAAAAAAACAATTTTTTTGTTATGAAGAATCTATTTAAGAATTGTAATAGATAATTTCCTGTATCCACGAATGACACCGATGATATATTATGCGTATATATATGCTATGTACGATTTTCAAGAAAAAAAAATTGAAATATTTTCAAGAAAAAAAATATGAAGCAATGAATTAGTAAATATAATATTGAACAAACGATTCGATTTTTGTTTATTTAATTAATTATTCTTTTATGAAAAATAAAATATCTTCATTTTTTTGTTCAAAAATAAATATTTTAAACAAATACAATTACGAATTTCGATATAAATATTCAATGGACCATCTTACCAATTTTTATTGCGAAGAGAATTGCGAAAGAGAATGTTAAAAAATAAGAGAATGATAGAAGAAAAGGCACAAAAAAGTCAAAAACCAACATCAGTCTCAACATCAATTATATTTGAATTAATTACTTGCAAAGTAAGCAAATCGGTACAATTAATAAGAAATTGCACCAATTTCATTAAAATTCGAGAATTTCACTTTTATTTCCATATTTTTTAATTATTTGATTTTTTTACTATATCACATGATATTCGTATAAAAAAGAATAAAAAGAAAAATTTTAAAAGCAATAATGTGATAAATATCAAAATATAATGTTATAAACTTTATTATAGATACATCAAGACAAAGATGTTGGT